AAGGAAGGAAAAAAAAAACAAAGAAAAAAGGTAATTAAAAAAAAAAAAAAAAAAAAAAAAAGACTTTCATTTAGGAGAAAAAAAAAAATTACAAAACAGGACCAGAGAGATGGCTCAGCAGTTAAAGAGCACTTGCTGCTTTTATAGGACTGGGGTTCAGCTCCCGGCACCCACATGGCAGCTAATAACCTAAGACTTTCATTTGGGAGAAAAAAAAATCACAAAACAGGACCAGAGAGATGGCTCAGCAGTTAAAGAGCACTTGCTGCTTTTATAGGACTGGGGTTCAGCTCCCGGCACCCACATGGCAGCTAATAACCTAAGACTTTCATTTGGGAGAAAAAAAAATCACAAAACAGGACCAGAGAGATGGCTCAGCGGTTAAGGGCACTTACTGCTTTTATAGGACTGGAGTTCAGTTCTCAGCACCCACATGGCAGCTAATAATCATCTATAACTCTAGTTCCAGGGGATCTGATGCCTTCTTCTGGCATCCACAGGCACCAAGGGCACATGTGTTAGATACATGCAGGCAAAACACATATATATTAAAAAAAAAAACATGCGGGGCGTGGTGGTGCACACCTTTAATCCTAGCACTCGGGAGGCAGAGGCAGGTGGATCTCTGTGAGTTCAAGGCCAGCCTGGTCTACAGAGTGAGTTCCAGGACAGCTGGGGCTACAGGGAAACCCCGTCTCAAAAAAAAAAACACCCCAAAACAAAGCATTTTTTAGGAGCTGGCAAGATAGCTCAGCAGAGAGAGTTTGCCTCACAAGCCTGACAGACCAAGTTGAATCTCAAGCATCCATGCAAAGGTGTCCACAAAGTTGTCTCCTGACCTCCACATGTATGCTGTGTACACACTCTCACACACATGCAGTAATAGTGGTAATAAATCAAACGAAATCACTTCTTAGAACTGAGTCCATTTAGAGCTGTCTATTACCTAGTCTGTTTCTTGGGTCCCTGTCCTTCTCCTGCTCCACTCGGTGACAGCCCGCCACTCCCTTGGTTTCTGGAAGAGTCTTTCCCTTGGCCATCATTTTGTTTCTGAGGCTTATTCTGCTTTTCAGATTTATTTTCTTTTTCTTTCTTCTTCTTATCTTTGTCCTCGGCCCCAGTGGCAGTCACAGGCTTATACTCAACTCCTGTCAGAGACTTGTACTGCGCCTTCAGCTGAAGGAGTTCCTGTACAGCTGCATCTACTTGATCCTATAGTATAATACAAGAGACAAAGGAGGGCAGTATTTAATGCAAATAACTGTCCTGGTATGTTTTTAAAAATACCACACCCAAAGCTTTCTGAGGTTTATAGGCACAATTAACTAGCGGTCATAGGTATAGACATAAAATATTAAAATACACTAACTACAAAAAATAACCAAACTATGCAAGAGAACTAGACAACAGCTGAGTCTGTAAGTGCACAGTTCACACAGTGTCACTAGGCACATGTGGCCGTTTAAACTAAACCTCATCCACAACAGACCCATCAAGAACTGTATGTGGCTAAGGACTGCTACTCCAGACAGGATCATTATAGAGAATTTAATCAAGCAAAAAGTTCTGTTAGAATGGAGACCTAAGATAAGAGCCATTAAATAAACTGAACATTCACAGTTATAAATAAGGCAACAGTCAAGCTTCTACATTACTGGATTAAAATTCAAGCCTCTCAAATCTTACTCTTTCACATCTGCAAATCTGTAGAAAATAAAATGCCACTCCTGCCAGCCGTGGTGGTGTGCACCTATAATCTGACCCTAGGGAGTCGGATCCTTATGTGAGGCCAGCACAGAACACACAGGGAGACAGTCTCCAAAAACAAACATAATAGTATCCGCACAAACTATACCAGAGCTCAACATAAAACCATCTACATGAGATTATACTCATACCCATAAAAATAAAATATTTTTTTAAAAAAAGGCCTAAGGGTTTGTGATGTCTGGGCACTTCTGGGTCTTAGTCTTTATGCTCTAGATGTTATAGACTAGAGGGAAATAGAAAATTTCCTGGGTGTGGTTACATCAGTAATCTTAAAAAGTAAAGCCTGAGAGGATGGCAAGTTTGAATCCAGCTGGAAATATATGAGACCCAGTGACCCAACTAAAAGAAAGGGAAAAAAAAAACAAAAAAACCCAAATTTAATTATTAAAATGCAGTATCTTTGGAGCTGGAGAAATGGCTCAATGGTTAAGAGCACTGGCTGTTCTTGCAGAAGACCTGGGTTCAGTTCTCAGCATCTCTATGGCAACTAACAACCATCCGTAACTCCAGTTCCAGGGGGATATGACCTCCAGAGGCACTGCACAACACGGGTACATTTACTTACATACATACACACATACAGGCAAAACATATACACAAAATAATAAATATATATTTAAAAAAAAAACAGCATCTTGAAGAACTGTGTAAATAATGGGCAACGTCATGAATGTACCCAGTCTAGTTGGGGAAAAAAAAGAACGGATATGGATTTCTGTAAGACAAGGCAAATCAGTTGAGAACTAAAATATGAATGGAAGCCAGGTAAATCTGATGGGGACAAAGTGCTCCAGGCAAAGACAACAGTATGAGATGTAAAAAAACAAAAACAAAGTCACCCTAAGAAAATCTCACACAAACCTTAGAGGCTTTTTCAGCTTTAAGTTTTCGAACTACTTCTCCTTGACAAGCCACTTGGTCAAACAGTACTTTGGCTTCTGGTGTCTCTGGACCAGCAGGATCAGCATTGCTCCCAAGACTTGGATTTGAGCTCTGAGATGATGGGGGTTGACCAGGGACATAGTCCTTCCCAGTTTTTTCTTTATACTCAGCTTTCAGGGACAGTAAGCATTCTACAGCTTCATTTACTTTGGCCTGAAAATAAAAGAAGAAAAGAGGTACTTCCTGAAATTTGTGAAAATTTCAATGTCATTTCAAAATCTTTAACTACTACTCAAGTATATCATCCCTCTATATCCATAGATCCAAGTACTCAAAGGTCAAAAATATTTGAAGAAATCCACTGTATCTTAATATGTCCCCAAAAGTGGGCAAGGAAAGAAAAACCTGGACTAATAATTTATTTGTAAAGGACTTTCTCAGAATGCCTACGGTATTAAAAGATTCATGAAGCAAAAGACTACATCTATTCTAAAATGTAGACTTATCATTACTTAAACTGTTTGTATATTTAATGTGTATGACAGACACTACTGCCTGAATGTATAGTGAGTACACCTGTGTCGTGCAATGCCCACAGAGGTCAGAAACGGGTGTTGGATTCCCCGGAACTAGAGTTACAAATACTTGTTAACCACCATGTGGGTGCTGGGAATCGAACTGTGCTTATTTGCTGACTCATCTCCCCATCTTATCTGCTGAGTCATCTCACCAGTCCCCACTAAACAGTACAATTATTTACATTGTATTAGATACTTGTAGTAATCCAGAGAGGATTCTAGGTATACAGATACACAGAAGGATATGTGCAGACTACATGGTAATGCCAAGCTACAAGGGATTTGGGCACCCTGGCTTTGTTATCTGATAGAATTCTGAATCCAATCCCTATACATCACTTTTAAAAATTAAAATGAAACGAGACAATATAAAGTTTTAAATTACGCACATATCTGTATTATTTCAGTATCTGATAATCTACCATAAACAAAATTCTACCAGAGAAGACAGTAGCACAGGCAAAGGAATCAAGCTGGACTCCTGACCACAAACTACCCACCTAGGAGAAGTTGAGACCTCACCTGGCTTGACTGGAATGAAAGGTTCCAAAGCGCTTATGCAGCAGCTCCGGGATGGGAACATTTCTCCAAGGGAGAAGTAACCTCAACAACAACAAAAACCCAGTGTCCTTAGCTAATAAATAAGAGCAGAACCTTCCAAAAGAACCTGGACATCTCAATTCACAATGGAATTTTTTTTTCCCAAAAAAAATTCATCGCAGCTCCTTTTCAGCACTTCGGAGAGATCCTTTACTACATCATTATATCACATCACTTATTACGTTAGTAATAAATGATGCCCCAAAGCAGAGGTTCTCACTTGCTGGGAAGGAGGGGAATGGCAACTAGATGTGCCAGCTGAAGGAGTGGGAATGGCAATGTGTGTGTTAAAAGATGTAGAGGTTGGTAAATTAAGGCATCACAGGGTTTGTTTGGTTGTTTTTAAGTATTTTTAAATTAGAAATCTGTGTTTAACTACCTAACAACCCCAAATAAGGTCTAACAACCCCAAATAAGGTCACGATCCTAACAGCAGATATAGTACAGTATGGAGTCCAACATTAGTTTGTAAAAATTATCACCTATAAAGGTCTACGTACCCTCTGTTCTAGGGCAGGGATCAGCATGTTTTATCTGGTAAAGGGCTGGGTTGTAAAAATGTTTGCTCTGAGAGTCTGCTACACTACCCAACTCCACATTTGCAGGAGGGAACAGCCAGACAGTGCACTGACTACTGAGTGTGGCTGTGTTCCAATGACATTTCATAGCTGGCCTAATTGGGCCAAAGAATAAAGTGCAGTTATTTCATAAAGCCTTTACATTTTCTGACTGTTGACTCAAACAATCATTCAGACGTCAAGTACAAAATAGATTTAAAAAATTTTTTAAAGCCTAAGCAGTTGTCTGAACAGAACTAGCTCAGTCATTTCAAGCACAGTTTCTCTGTCATAGCTGCCTTTCCTTTTGTCACTGACTATAAGTAACCCTTCCACACCAAGCGCTACATCCCATGGGCTGTTTCCTGTAAGGACACACTGAAACAAGAATTAGACATACTTTGCCAAAATCTGCTATCACTGGAAGATTCATCTATGAAGAGTCTGAAAGAGCCACTGGCTAAGATCCTCTCAACAACGCACTATTTTTCCTGAATATGGCTGGCAGCTGTCTAATTCTGCCTTGACTAGTCTATTTCTTCAAGCCCAATCCCTGGGCAAGCAGTACCACATCACCTGCTTTTTGGACACTCACTGTGACGATTATCTTCACTGTCAACCTAATGGGATTTAGAGTCATCTACGAGACATACCTTTGGAAGTGCAGAGAGGATTAGTTGAAGAGGGAGATCTACCCTGAAGTAGACGGCATCATCCCATGGATTGAAAGAGAAAGACTGAAAGCCGTGTGAGCACCTGCATTCCCCTTCCCCTGATTCCTGGTCCACTGAGATCTGAACACGGACTGCATTCCCTGAACTGTGAGCCAGAAGAACCCTTTCCTCTTTAAACTGCTTCCTGCCAGGTATTTGGTAAGTGATAAAAGTAAAAAATAATACAAGAAAGAGAATGCCTCTCTCTGTGTGCTCTGGACTTACTGCAGCAAAGACAGAAGTAGGCATCTAGTAATTTGCTTTTTTGTCTGTCAACCTAATGGGATTTAGAGTCATCTACGAGACATACCTTTGGAAGTGCAGAGAGGATTAGTTGAAGAGGGAGATCTACCCTGAAGTAGACGGCATCATCCCATGGATTGAAAGAGAAAGACTGAAAGCCGTGTGAGCACCTGCATTCCCCTTCCCCTGATTCCTGGTCCACTGAGATCTGAACACGGACTGCATTCCCTGAACTGTGAGCCAGAAGAACCCTTTCCTCTTTAAACTGCTTCCTGCAGGTATTGGGTAAGTGATAAAAGTAAAAAATAATACAAGAAAGAGAATGCCTCTCTCTGTGTGCTCTGGACTTACTGCAGCAAAGACAGAAGTAGGCATCTAGTAATTTGCTTTTTTGTTTTTTTTTTTTCGGTCTTTTTGAGATAGGGTCTCCCTGTGGCCCCAGCTATCCTGGAACTCACTATATAGACCAGGGTGGCCTTGGATTCACAGAGATCCACCTGCCCCTGTTCCCGAGTACTGGGATTAAAGGCGTGCGCCACCACACCTGGCCGTAATTTGTATTTTAACAAGACTCCCTAAAATTTGGATGTGCACAGGACTTGAGAGCCACAGTTCTATATTCGGAATGCCTTTCTGCTGTTACCTGTAAAAGGCTCCTCCTCCTCCTCCGGGGTTTGTGTGAGTGCTGGGGATCCAACCCAAGCTTCACACCTGCTAAACACACACTCTACACTGAGTTATACTTCCAGCCTACGAAGAATATTTCAAATATCCTTTATGAATTGTTTTCCCTTTCCCCTCACTTTTAACTGCAACACATCTCCCTACTACTCATACATATTACACAGGATTGTAGTCACGCCATGCAAGGTTAGAGTTTGTGTTTCATTTTTGGTGCCCATAACTTCCCTCAACTGTGAGCTTCTTATATTTTCAGAGCTTGGTTCACAGCAGGCAGCAATAAATATTGATTGCTGTCAAAATATTCAAGCAGGCAGCTTACAAACAACCCATTTCATGAGATGTGGCTACATTAGGCAGTGTAAACACACACGCTTGCCTACTGTACACTCTTGACTTCAGCATACTGACCTTAGGAGCCTTTTCAGCTTTCAGCTTTCGAACCACCTCCCCTTGGGCAGCAACTTTATCATACAGAGATGTGTTTTCCACAGCGCTTGATGATTTAGTAGAAACATTCTGTAGTACTGCAGCAGGGGGATTTCCAGGTTTATATTCCTGGCCAGTTTTCTCTTTATATTCAGCTTTCAAAGCCAAAAGCTGTTTCACAGCTGCATCCACGTCTTCCTTTGCTGCCTTCTTGGCTTTCAGTTCCCGTACCACATCCCCCTGAACAGCCACTCTCTTGTAAAGGACCGAGGAATCCTCCGTTGTAGCACAAGAGTTATTCAGAGATGCTGCTAGTTTTTCCTTAAGAGGAGAAAGAGTCTACAGATGCAGAAAGCCAAAAGTAAAATATTAATTTAAGTGTTCTCCCTTAAAACTGTATCAAACTGTTTTACAATGTTTCATAAAAATTTTAAATTTCAATCCCTTCTAAAGCTTAAACAAATAATCTCATGCCTAAGAACTTGTTCTAACAAAAAATGACAGCAGTAAACAACACAGAGGTAAACAGAGAGTCACTGGAGCACTTTTATCTTAACAGAAACCTGGGGGTGGGAAATAGAAGAAGAATCTTTGTTTTGATGTTTAGGACACTAGTTAAACTAGAATACATGCATTTACACCAAGAATAAATCACTGCTAACACATACTAGATATGCAACCCTGAAATAAATACATATGCTATTACAAAGATTAAGTGCTTGATGGCTAATCTTGGTTGTCGGCTTGACACACCGGGGAAGGAGGACCCTTCTCATTCTACATCCTGAGCCCATCCCCTAGTTCCTATCACCCATGCTGTCCTTCTCTGGCTCCTGATCGATAAAGCCTAATCACGATGCCAGTGTACTCTTCTGAGTCTTTACACAGTGGTCAAATCTTCGATGGCTGCCCAGCTACTAAGATCCAGGGATCCCGCACTGTGTATCAAGATATTAAAGGGTGCCACAGTGGCACTATGGGACATTTTAAACATTCAAGGGGAACAGCAATATGCTGACGTCTGTCAAACGCTGTGTGCTTCTAGCTCACAGTACTCGGTTTTACCATGAGTGTACTCCACTCCTTTTGATGATGAACCCAGCAAAGCTGCATTTCCACAGCCACTGTGTTTAAGAAGCAAATGCAGACAGCAAAGAAGCACGATGGCGTACAAAGAGTACGAAGCTCAGGAAAAAAACAAAAGGACTATTTTTTCTTTCAATCTGTGAAGATTTCTTTCAACCATTTTAAGAATGAATAAAAATCAACATACTTAATATTTAACAACAAAACACTTTCAGAATGAAATTTCAAGTCTATTCTTCAGTTTATATGAGTATTGTTTTCAAATGGCTACTAAATTATTAGGATGTAAGTATTTAGTTGTTTGAACTTAACTGCTTAATGAGACTACTGGGATGTCATCTGGCTGAGGGGTGACACCAAAACCGTCAGAGAAAGTCTGGTGCCAGGAACACAAAGTCTGAGCATTGCTGGCCTGTAAACAGAACCCTATTTCTTGGGCACCATCTCTCAAACAGACACATTCTGTATGAAAAGAGGAAGACTCATGTCTCCATCTAAAATGCCCTCCTGATCTTGACTGCCATGCAGAGGCCTAACAATCTTACAGAATTAATTAAGCATTACCTCTAAGACAAAAACAACAAAGAAAACTTTAAAGAGCAAAGAAACAATCCCCATTATCCACACCTTAATAATTCTTCCTCCTTTTCTCTTTTCAGAACCTTAATGGCAAGAGGGAGCTTCCTTTCCAAGGGGCATCAGACTTTAATAGATAAATACAAACACAGAGCCAGAAAACAAGGTTAGTATGCTAATTTGGTTATAGTTTTGTGATTTTTGGCAAGGCTGCCACTACCCACTTATAAAGTGGGAAGCTAAGCCTCAGTACTGGTGTCCTACAAGTTCCCTAACACCACACAACACCCCTAACGAAAACACCAGCCAGCAAGAGAATCCCAGCCCTGTAATCCCAGCAGTCAGGACTATGAGCTAGAGACTAGCCAGGGAATACAGCAAGACTCCTGTCTAACAAAGCATAAGAATAAAAGGAAAGAGAGAGGAGGAAAGGGTAGGGAGGAAAGATGGGGATGATCTACTGCAGAGCGGGGATTCCCTTAAAAAGGCTCCTTTTACCCTAGTCCTCAGTTTTTTGATATAGTAAAGGGACATTTAAAAAAAATTTGCTCTCCATCAGGCGTGATGGCACACACCTTTAGTCCCAGCACTTGGGGGGCAGAGGCAGGAGGATCTCTGTGAGTTCCAGGACAGCTGGGGCTACAGGGAGACCCTGTCTTAAAA